TCATATCCATTAGTGTCGAGCTTGCAAATTAAGTTGCCACCCCCCCCCCCCCCCATGATTTAATAAGGCCAACCCATAAAGGTCATACATTTACATGCAGGAGGTTGTTTTGAAATCTAGAGCAATGAAAGCATGGCTTTTAAAAGTCAGTAGCATTCATTCCAATTGAATTCATTCAAACAATATTAACGCTAGGGTCAAAGCAATGCTTCTTTTCTTTCCAGTATGTGTTGCTTGTATTAACCTGCATGGATCGTTAGATTTCGATTGAATTTGTGAATTCAAGCCCGGTAGTCTGTGATACTTCAGAGAGTGACACAACATAACATTGTGTTCTTAGTTATGTGAGCCATTGTTTAGACTGCTCAGAACATCCACACGTCTCTTAAGTCTTTGTTAGAATGTTAAGAGTTCTCAGGCCTAATTTGTTTCATTGAATTGTCAACAGTCTGCTCTTTGTCAGCATATGGTAGATGGTAAACCATCACATTGCAGTGTTCTCCCCAGACATGCAAACACAGCATTTTTATATGTATCATAATTGGCTACAGAAATGCCATGCTTTAAACTTTCAAGAAAAAAAAACAAAAAACGATGGTAATTATTTTCCATGTGATGAAATAAAGATGTAGATTAATTACCAATATGCAAATTAGCCATCATGCTGTGGTATTCACATATAGCTGTTAAGAGAACTATATTAATATGCAGATTGTAAACAGCCACACTAAATTTTTGTAAGGATACAGCGTACAGAGTTTGTAATCCCTGCCACACTTTTATTCATATTGCGATGAAGATTCTAAACAATCCACTTTCCTATATTAGAATACATGAATTTGTCGTTCTGATATATATACATACACTGAAATATAAACTATTGACAAATATTTAGACCAAACCAGCTACTATAAAATGACTAATTTTCACTGGGTTTAAATTTTACTGATTAAGCATTTCAGACATATTCAGTGGGGGTTAATTCACGGTTTTTATCATTTAGATAATGTGTTCTACATGTATGCTAAATTTTACATATTCACTGTGTTTTAATTTAGCGCATTTTCCAGTCAGCGAAATAAGCAAAATTAAAACCCAGTGAATAATTAAGCATTTTATGCATTAACCGGTATATATTACGCATGGCTTAGTTCACATACCATTCACTTGCTAATGTTTGAAAACAATCTGATTGACTGTCCTGCTTTTTGTTGTATCAATATAATTTATCCAGTCAGAATTCATAACACGATGAGCGCAAGAGCAATACAACTTGATATTGTTCGTACAAAAACATCTTTACCAGCCAAGGTTCAAGAGTTTGGCCATTGCCTTGACCAGTCCAGCATTATAATTTTAAGAATTTCCACATTAAAACCTGTATTCACTGTTGATGAAATCAAACACAACAGCCCATGCTCTTGTGCATTTCAGTGGCAAATAGAACACAAAGTCCCTGTTGTGATGCATTCCCAGGAGAAATCAAAACATGTTTCAATCAATTAAAGCTATGACATGATATAAAATCATAACATCTATTGCCTAGTGGTTTAAATTTAAAATTAATATGAGTTGTTGTTGTTACAGGAACACACACACACAATCAATTCATTTAATTTAACTGCAAGGTCAAATATAGCTTTTCTTAACACGATAACACACAGGTTCATGGGAACATCCTTGAATGGTTGGCTTCAGCAAAACCTTACATGTATGAATGAGGACAATGGATAGATACAGCTACATCCATCCATACAAGGGCTGTGTTTGATTATATATTTTGTACCACCACAATTGTAAAATGTATAAATAACCTACAGGTAATAGATGGTTGAAACTACCGGTACCAAAATGTTTGTATTCATTCAATTCTCATGAACATTTTGAATCGTGGACATACACAACAAAGTTGAACTTCCATTTTAATTATTTTTCAAATTAAAAACATGTCCAGTTTCAGTAAGATTAATTTTTTTCCTGCCTTTGTCTACTAGCTTATCACAGTATGTTTAGTGTGAATTGTTTTAAACAAGAGATATTAGTTTCATGACGACCATACATGTATCAATTAATAAATCATATTCACAGCTGTGCAATACAAAATATTGGCAAAATAGCATGTGTTGACTTGGACTAGAAGCTGTACCGGTACAACGTGTCACTGCTACTATGTCGTTTGACGTTTTTATCGTTTTTTTTGGCTAGAATATTTATCTAATTTTTATTCAACGATGAATCTACATTTTGATTATTTTTTAAATTGAATTTTTACATAATGTGAAAGTGATGAGTACTTTACTGAAGTGAAATCATCGCTTGTGTGTCAAATTGGACAGGACGTTTACACATACAATAGCTCGTCTCTGTTTACATAATACTTAGATTTCAATTAGGGCTACAAGTGTAATTTCTGTTCAATTTTAACAATGCTGGTTCTTTTACGGTATTTGTGTCCCATTTCTTTTATCGACCGGTTTGTAACTGTAGTGTTCACAGTACAGACTTACTTCAGGACATTAGTGATTTGTGGTGCCACAGGACTGCATCAATGTGGGGGGCCCACCCATCACTTTGTATGTACATGTACATAAAAAAGTTAATGGATGTGAGACCATACACCATAGTCTGTTTGAAAGGATGTACATGTATATGTATTGTCACAGTTTGAAGAACAACTTTAATTTGAATAAACCTGTAATTGACAGTCACAATTTGAGGTTTCATATGCATGTTTAAATCATGCCTTCTCATCAATTTTTAGATAAGAATTACATTAGATCCATCGTCGGAATCACACAGTTTCGCTAAAGCCGGCCATTCATAACTGTCCCACGAACCCGTGCGTGATCGTGTTAGGAAATGCTGTATTTCACTGCAGTTAAATCAAAGACTAAATTGAGTTAAATTGGTTAAATTGAGTCATTTGATTGGGCGTGCCAAGGAGCTGGCGCCACCAATCAGTGTTGCTGTATCATAAATTTGAAGGTTGGGGGTCATCACAAATTAAAACAATGGCGGTCTGTACATATAGGCTTAGCGCTGATTCCCCCAGAATCAAGCATAGAAGGCATATAATCGTTGACATGTTTCCAAAATTTCATATTCCAACGTTGAAAATTGTGGGAAAGTGAACGAAGACAATGGAATGTCTAAATGTTTGTGCAAACTCTGTTTTAGTAAACTGACAAAACTGATAGTGATAACATATCGACTTGCTCGATCCTGTCTTCGTTGCAACAAAAACATCGTTCCCCCCACATACAGCTCTAAGTGCTTTTTGATGGTCAGTAAGCTCGTTTTCAGAGAAAAGACTAGTAACAAATTCAATGTGTCGTTTCTATCGTGAGTTCTGATTGGGTAATGCAAATGAGACAAAGTTGATTTTATAATCTTTGAGGGGTGCGATATACAGTTAATCGTGGGGAAATCTGCAAAGGGTTTATGTTGAGGCTTCAGCTGAATAAATGGTCCTTGGCTAGCGAAGATGCATAAGATCACATCCAATTGTAAATTACTAGTAACATTGAAATTGTACTCTACAAATATTTATGAATTCATGCAACAGAAAATACTGTATTCCATGATTTTTGATTATCGAGAAAAGTGTTTTCACAGAGTACTTCAACAGGACGTGTCAACATTGTGTGTGATTTGCATACTGAAATCTGGTGCCGACATTTCCTTTCCAAAAATAACATGTTGCTATAACATGTAATTGCTTTTATTAGTCTGAGACATGACTGATAGCATTTTTGTTACATGGTGGCTTTCAAAAACAGACGCATGTTTTAACTCAGAAATAAAATTTAGTTGTTCGATTAATTGAGATGTACTAAAAAATATTTTGTGATTTGGCGGTATTTCTAAATAGCTGCATATGCTAGCTCATCAAAATAACCGAATCTGCAGTAATCCATTATCATATAATAAATCATCCATAAAATACATATAGCTCTTTAGTTTTTAGGTGTAAAATAACATGAATTATACAGCAGAAATTTATTTCCAAAATAATGTTTTACTTGATCTATTTAATATTTGTGACAAGCTATGTTTATCACATACCTCCAGACTTTAGTAAGCCTTCCCGCCGCTTTCGGTGGGTGTACTTTATATATTATATGTACAAGTTTAGGTTATGACTGGTTACAAAAAAATCCGTTAGAGATCGACCGCAAAAAGCAATTATATTAGAGATAGGGTAACACATTGAACAGACAACGCCAATGTTGTTTCGGTTGAGCAGTAATTAACAAAGAGCAGCTGTTACAATCATTCATCCATGTGCTATTTATAGAACATAATTACGACCACTCACCTGAGTTACTGTACGCATTTGAACCAGTGCGAGGACCTGGTTGTCACCGCTGCCGCCGCCACTATAACTACGTGCCATTATATGCCAGCTCGCACACTACCCGTTTTGCTATGTTATCATACTGGTTTCAACTTGTAAGGAAAAGATTCACGCACCGGAAACATAAACTGGTGTCCTAGAAAGGAGTGTAAATGAGCCAACAAAAGAAAGGACGCCAGCATTAGTCATCACCAGCCTTCTTGTTTACCACAGATATAATTCGAGGTCAAAGGTCAATATGGGACTGTCCCGTATGTGTGTTGGTTATATATTTGCTAAAACAATGGTTTTTTTGGATTGAAATTAAATAACGAATTTTAGTTTTGAAAGTAAATGTATGGAAACGTGAAAAATAGTTCGGATAAAATATATACTTCTTCGAAAATAATAGGACCGTAAATGAATGACTTTTTGCCGGGAAATCCCGCGACCCGGAAGTGAATTTGAGACTTCAAAATACGAAATTGCACAACTTGATGACAGGCATTGTGTGTCGCAGTCACCGCTGTGAGGACAAACCAAAGGAAGAGGCACGTTGTTATTGCGTTTATTTACTGATATTTTATAGGACACGTATTTTAAAAACTCTTTCTCAAGATGTCCATATTTACTCCTACAAATCAAATTCGACTGACTAATGTTGCAATAGTAAGGATGAAGAAAGCTGGCAAAAGATTTGAAATCGCTTGTTATAAAAATAAGGTGATATCATGGAAAGATAAAATGTGAGTAATTTTCACTGCAAGTGTGAGCTTTATGTTTACATCACCGCGAATATAATTACATGTATAAATAATTTACAGTCCATTCAGAATTGCGACTTTTTTAGTGTGCAAGGTAGCCTGACAAGGTAGCGCGAGTTGCGCCCACTGCGGTGCTCCAAAACCTGTTATTGAGGTCTGATGCCGTTTGGCCGGCTAGGGTTCTGCACAATATTGTTAATTGGCCATCAGAGTCAGACTTACAAACTATCTCAACTCTCCGGGATTGAAGTAAGGCTACACCGATTTAATTTTATGGATGACATCCGCGCGCGCATTAGTTTTCGCCTGATGACGAGTCTCCACAGATCGTTTTTCTGTTCGGAACTTGTCGACTCATATTGTTGAAAAGCGCCTGACTTGTCGTAAAACTCGTTTTGGACTACCTCAAAACCAAACTCCGCACAGTTAGATGCGCGTTACGTAAAGCGCAAAGACCTATGGGAAAGAGGTTGCCTCAAAACATGCAAATTTTGCCATAAATGATCCAACATGGCGACCACACCACCAAAATACGTGAGCATAAAAGTTCAGAGGTGAAATGGAGGGATTGTTGTAGACTGGTACGCAATTGACGTTGGCTAGGGAGACGTTTACACAGCTATACGAGAGGTCGGTAGCGGCAAGCGAGTTTTGCCCAGACAACTTTGTGAACATATTGTCCAGAGTTGCTGTCCTGCGTTTCTACTGCAATGATGAAAGAAATGGGAGAGGAGTGGAGGTGTATGGTGGCCTAAAAGTCGGTCAGGCGACAAATCAGTTCGGTTACTTTGTCCACATTGAAGTTGACAAAACTGCAATGAAAGCAGCAGAAGCTCCTTGGCCGAAGTTCCCTTATTATTTTTTTTTCATTTTCTGATTCAGATAATTTGCTTGCACACATATTCAGTAATATTTTGATCATATGACCCATTTTCATCAAGATACATGTAC